CGCTCGCGGGCTCTTTTCTCGACCTCTTGGATTCTTGGCGCGTCCTCAGAGGCTCCTCCTCAGATTCGGTCTCAGACTCTTCGGCCTGGACCTGTTTCCTCTTCTTGGACCTTTGGGCCGAAGCCTTCCGCCTGGGGCGAGCAGACGGTGCCTGAGCGACCTGTTCTGTCCTGGTCACTTCTTGCGCAGGACGGGGCTGCGAAGGCGCAGAAGCTCGCAGCGGTTGTGCCGGAATAGCACGGGCAGCTTCGGCCGCCCTCTCCCTCTCCCTCCTTGATCGAGGGAAAACAAATGGTGCTCGGTGGGACTGCCCGGACTCCTTTGGGGGCATGGTCTCTGCATTTAAGCTCGTCAGTAAGGGAATTTATTCCACGACCAGAAAGCTACCAGTATAACTTACCTTCCAGGGGTTCTAACGACGCCTTGTTAGTGAAAAAACCGTACTTCCGCAGGTTCGTGGTTGTCACAAGATTCCTCGCGTCCCGTTGTTCGTCGTCCAGTACCCCGAAAGATACAAGTCTGTCTGGGTTGGCGAGTAGACTCTGCTCAGTCGTTCTATTAACTGCAAAAGAAAACAGGTCGTTATAATGGATCAAGCGAGCAGATAATTAACCCAGTGAAAGAAAACCTACTTGGATCCTGAAAATGGCAGTGGCCGTTATAAAAGAAAAAGAAAAACTTTGTCTCGTAGGCCCCCGCGTTGCTGGGATAGCTGTGTATCCCCGCGGTAATGGTAGGTCGCCGAGACAAATAGTACGAGTCCTTGTCCCTACTCTTCTTAAGGTAGTAGGCGACGCCGAGCTCGACCGCCGTTGGCTCTCCCAAGCCGTTCTGCAGCATGCGATGTACATCGCGACCACGATGACATACGCGTTTGGCGTTAACTGCATCGGTGCGATCCCGAAATGATCCAAGACCGACCTGATGAAAGGATGGAAGAGAATCCTCCCTCCACCCTTGAAGATCTCCTCAGAGATCGCGGCAAGGCCGTCGGCCGGACGCCGTGACGGCCTAGTATGGTCAAGGAACACCTCCGCGTGGATGTCGAACTGCTTCTTTATTCTAGCATATTCCTCGGGGGTGAGAACCGAGTAGACATCGAGAGCTGCGTCCTCGGGAGCTCCCCGCGAGGACGAGCTGGCTCCTTCCTCGGTCCTGGATGTAGACGGTTCCATTCCAGTCTGCAACATCGACAGACACGGTCATTTAGGCCTTCGTGTTTGCCCTGTGCGGCGGCAGGGGACAAAAACTTAAAACCTAGCGGTGATTCAAGCCGCCATCCACGGCTCGAATCCAATGACGGCGTCACGACTCTGGTGAAACACCGGAAGACCCAACGCCGTGGTTCAACCAAACCAGTGCAAAATAAAAAAGGAAAGGGGAACCTTACTCTGTGGGATATGGAGCTGGGGCCTAAACTCGTTTTGGTTGCCTGAAAAGCGCCGATCGGGAGAGAATGATTCTTGGTTTGCAAAAGTTTGTCACTCGAAGCGAAAGAAATTTTGGTGACCTCATCTGAAAAATACAAAGTTTTTATATGGATTGCGAATCGGCGGTTACCGCCCCTGGGAACCAAAATGGCAGTTCTCTCTCTCTCCGCATTAAATGCGCCCCACGTCGCATTAAATGCCGTGAAAAGGGGCGTCGTTTCAAACCCACGTCGCATTAAATGCAGTAATAGGGGTTGTCGTTTCAAATGTGTTACACAATCAATGCTGTCAAAACGGCGTCGGGTCATCTTACAACGCATTAAATGTGTCTGACAAACGCTGTAACGCGTGCAGAGCGCCTGACAGCGCAGAGCCAGGTTCATTGAACCTCTAAGGTACGGAAAGGAGCATCCGTCAAATCCAGGTCGCTAGGATGAAGATTGTCAGGTCGCTTAGGCAAAGGATTGCGCGAGATCGTGTTCGCTGCGAGTCCTGAGCCGAGCTCATCCCATCCAGGTCGGAGTGACCAAAGCCTCCAATGTGACTTAGTTTCCAAGGCTCGATCCTTAAACCTTAAAAACTAGGGGGCTTCTGTTATGCCTGGGAAAATAAAGGGCTGACATGGGAAAATCGTGTGAAGGGCGACCTGCTCCCGTCAGAGCAACACGCACATGTCAGACCTGCCACATGATATGGAGCTCACACGCGTCCATTTCTTTGCAGCAAATCGTGCGAAGTCAGCTTGGGAAGAGGGCAATGGGACATAAAGCCGGATTATATCCTGACAATCACACCAACCCATGGATTTAATGATGATTGTACACTTCAGTTTGATATAAAATGACGAAGACCCCTTCATTAAGGGGATTCGGCCATTCTTTACATAAAAAAACTCTCTCCTGTAAAAACACTTACTTTTCATAACTCTTATGTACGTCAGTCCGCTTCGCGACTTGACCCACACCAACATCAATACAAATCAGTGGACGTAGGATTTGCTACCTTAGCATCCGAACCACTTTAAAAATCTTCCTTGCATTTATTTCACTTCATATATCCATTATCACGTGTGTTAATTCATCAAATAGTAATATCCATGTGACAATTGGTTGGTGCCGAAAACGAGCATCAACAGTAAGGTTTCCAATCTGATGAGGAATTTTACCTATTAGTTTATTGCTAGAAAGATCGATTCCAGAAATTAACATAAGAATTATCCCACTGTAGGAGAATGTATTATGCTTCGTTGTGAAATCTATAGTTGCTTCCTTAATACTTGGAGGACCAATTTGAGAATAAGCAAATGCAGGCAAAGGATTGTAAGCCGGAACTTGATCGAAAAAACCAGAAGTTAGAGTTGCAGCATCATAATATCTTTCACTCATATTTAAACAAGGAAGAATAAAGCCTGTCAAATTGTTATGAGAAAGTCAGAAAGATCCGTAAGACGTAATTGGTCTAACTCGCACAATTGCAGAGGCAGTTCACCTTCCAAATTATTCTTCGCCAAGATGAAGTAACGTAATTGAGAAAGCCTGCCAATCCAATTTGAATGGTTACCAGTGAAGAAACTATAACTAAGATCCAATGTCTCCAAAGAAAGGCTATAATAAAACGTATCATTGAGTTGTCCTTGTAGTTTATTTCTTGACAGGTGAACTAGTTTGATTTTAAAAGGTTGTAGACAAAAGGGTAAATACCTAGAGATTATATTTTCTGAAAGGTCCAAAATTTCAAGAAAATTAAGTTTACAAAACTCCATTGGAATTGGACCTTCAAGATGGTTACTGAGCATTATAAAATCTACCAATTCTGCCATGTTTCCCAACCACCCTGGGACTTTACCACTAAAATGGTTATCGCCAAGATGCAATCATTCCAAAGAGTAATTAGACAAACTTTCTGGGATATTTCCAGTCAAGTTATTGTTATCCAATTGTAACCTCATCAAGTATGTCAGATTAAAATTTTTAGTGAATAAGTGACCTTCCAAACTGTTGTTTGATAACGCTAGCAGCTGCAATGAGAAGCAACCCCTGGCCAAATGTTCAGGTATTTCCAGAAAAATTATTATTGGAAAAGTCTAGACTTTCCAATGAGTTCATGTCACTAATAGCAGATGGAATGCTACCATTAAACGCATTTCTAGAAATGTTTAAAGATATTAACCTTGGTAGATTTGCCCCAATCTATATTGGACTGTGACCATAGAAGATATTGACTGAGATATCTAAACTTGTTAAATGTTCGTGAGGATGAACTGGCAATTGGAAAGGTCCACAAAGAGAGTTATTGACTAGAAGAAGTGTTTCTAGTTTTATGCTGTTCTCTAACAACCAATTCGGAAATTCTCCCTTTGAATTTATGTGAGAGAGATCAACTTCATCCAAGTCATATTGATAATGTGCCACCATCTCCATAACCACCCAACATGAAGGAATTTAATTGGAATCGTGGGGCCAAAGACTGAGACTCAATTTCTGTATATATTTGGTTATTCTCACCATAGAACTTCTTGCGTTTCCAATGGTTGAAAAAAAGGTTCAAGTGAAATTGGGATTTGGAAGTTATTGTGTGACAGGAAAAGATATTGGATGGATATTAGATGTTTAAGGGGTGATAAGGAGATGCTTTCATTAATTCAAAATTTTATTTTCATTTGTAAATCTGGTTTCCACTCAAATCCAGCTCCTCTAAGTCCCTCAACGATTCTTAACCTGGGAAGAATTTAACCACAGTTAACTAATTAAACTATTTTTTGTAAAGTAATAGAGTAAATTAAACATGTTGAGTTAGGGGTCTTTCTCAAGAAACATCTATGCCTCTCAATCAAATTCTTTTTTAATTTTTATTGACTTAGAAGACTCTCAACGTTCTCTTGCAGTGGTGAGAAGGTGGCCTCATTTTCTTATATCAAAGAAAATATGCCAAACACATATGGACGTTAGTACATTTTTTCATGCACATTTTCTCTTTGTTGCAGGAGACTTTGGAGTTTGGATCAATGATAGAACTGCCTCTTTTTCTTTTAATTCCTATTCTCTCTTTCATTACCGTCTAATATATAATTATTAAATGTCACAGTTACCCTGTATGTGACACTGTAAGTTTAAAATGTTGATTTTATGGATAAATCAGTAAAATTATATTGTTAGACTGAATGAAATGGGCCTTGTCTCCTTTTACAAAAAAAAAAAAAAAAAAAAAATCTTAAAACAAATGAGCTTCCAGGTGTCCAAGTATAAGGATTTGGCTGCTATGACTTGGAGGCACAAATGACTTTTTTTCAAGTCATTTACAAGCATTGTTAATAATGAAGCTGGATTCAAGTTTAATGTGAAATTAAGTAAATAAATATCTAGTTAAATGTCCATTACCAGAATTTAAATAAGCTCAGAAATTGCCCTTTTTGTCTCGTTTCTTCTTCCCTTTTCTTAACTCTCAGTTCTTAGGATCAGAAAACTTGCCCGGAATTTCAATCATCAAATTCTCCATCACTTGAAAATGAATGAAAATAATTGAATTTTGGTATTAAATATGAATAGATTAACAAAAGGGTTTAAGGGGATTGAGAAATTAGGATCTGTTTTGTGGTTTCTGCTGTATAAATTTTAGATTGAGACTTTGGGTTAGTTTCTACTACTGTATGATTCGAATTAACATACATATACAACTGATCTCACAATTAGTTCTTTTCACATAACTAACATAGAGTTTGATCACTTTGCCTATTGTGTTGCTGCACTCAACCCTTCTCCATTGACAACAGTCTTGAGTTTTCATCCCAACACCTTTTCCACCGAATCTTGAAGGTAATAAGTACTATTCCACAATGGTTTAAGTTGCAAGAGAGCAATTCTCTCTTCATCCCAACACCTTTCATCCTCACTCTCACACCTTTTTAATGAAACAAACATAAATACTAAGAATATCCATACACCTTTTGAACACGTCTTGATGCACACAGAAACAAACATCAATGCTATTTCTATAGGAGGTATTTATCAAGTTTTCAATTGATTCGGGGATCTCTTTTCATTCCTAACAGACATCTATGTTCAAGCTACCATGCCGTTCAATCAACTTCTCAATTAATTTTTATTGACTTAAGGAGTGTATCAACTTCCTCTTGCAGTGGTGAGAATGTAACCCCATTTTCCAAGTTAATGTAGCTTGGTCCACAAAGAAGAGGATTCCCCTCATAACTACTTTCTCCAAAAGTTGCAAATTGATTAATCATCTTAGGGATCTTGCCAAATAAAAGTAAAGCTAGACACATGAATTGATGCAGAAATCTGCATGCCTATATTATTGTGTTCATGGACGTAAAAAGCAAAAAGAGAAAGCCACTTACAAGAATTTCGATGCTTGCCACTCTGCAAGTATGCCGTTAAAGGCTCTATATATGTCAGACACTCAACGCTGAATTGAGAAAACAAGTATTTCCAAGATTTTCAAGACCAGCGCCCTGTAAGTCATACATATCATTATAGATATGTTTAGGTTCAACACAAAACCAAGTTCACCACAGCTATTAATTACCTAAAAAGCGTCATACATTTGCCATTGAAAAAATTGACACCAAATTTATTCGAAATACCAAATTCAACTAAATACCAAGTCTTTGAGCTGAAATCACTAACTGATAACCATAATTTAACATATCTTAAACTATGGCAGCACAACTGCAATCCAAAATGATCGGTATTTCGTTATTAGTTTCATTGCACATTTGTAAAGACATATGGACTACCAAAACCATTAATTCCAGCAACTATACTACAATTATACTCCCGGCAACATAGCAATTCCCCTCAAATGAAACCATGAAACTAACAGGTACTCATAAATTACTGATACCAAACTGGGATTTCACTCCCTGAAGCATACCAATTGCCCTTCAACAGAACTAAATCAAACTACAACGAAACGATTGAATTCGAACAAATTATCAATACAGAAAAAACTCATTCAAAGCCATAGAATTAAAAAAAAAAAAAAAAAAAATCATTACAAACTAATCACACTCACAATTCTCCGGAAAGTCATCCCAAAACTCAGCTTAGGATCCAACGCACAATCCCAAAACTCCGACCCATCAACTCTCTTCCCCGACCCACCACTCGGACCCTTCCCTGACCCGTCCCAGTTTTCTTCTGCTCCGACCCACTTGGATTCAGCGTCTCCAATTTAAAATCCCCATTCTCACCACCATACTAAGCCCACTAAAGACTTTTCTAGCCGGGTGAAACTCGATCCTTCTTTGGAACCCAGAAAAGGATCCGACTCCGAGATCCGAATACCTGCCCGCCTCTTCCACTTGAATTTCAGTAATCAAATTCTCCATCACTTGAAAATGAATGAAAAGATTTGACTCTTGGGATTAAAATTGAATAGAAATGATAATTGCGGTAAAGAAGATGTAAAATTAGGGTTTTTATTAAGGTGGGTGTTGTAAAAAGCAGAGCAGAGCTATTTCGAGTTCTGCGAAAGAGAAGGGCTTTAGCGACAGTAAGGAGTATTAAACCCTACCCAGCGAGGGATGTCGGGTGTGTTTGTTTTAGTATTTTAAGTAGTATTTTTGAAATAGTATTGGTAAATAGAGTCGGAGATTATTTTCGAATTAAGTTTAAAAATTAACAAAAAAACCTCTAAGGTTTACTAATTTAACTAAGCACCTTAATATATAAAAATTTTGTAAAATAATAAAAACACCTCCACCCACCCACAGTTGTCAAATTCTGGCCACCACCGTCGAAAACTGCTGAAATCTAGTTTTACGGTACACGACCGATTGAATCTGATAGGTCATGAGCCGATCTGGCCGAAAAATGCCAGATTTGGCCTTTTGGTCATCGTTGACTGTCAACGACGGCCAAAGATATGGTTAACGACGACCAACTCTTGGTTGTCGTTGACAGCTAGATCTGGTATTTTTCGACCAGATCAGTGCATTGCCGACCAGTTCCGGTCGATAGTGTGTTGTTGTGATAGATTTCGACAACTATCGATGGTGGTTGTCGGAATCTGATAATTATAAGTGAATGGGAGTGTTTTTGTCAATTTATAAATTTTTTTATTGGGGGTATTTTTATTAATTAACAAATTTAGAGGGTTTAAAAAGTTTCTTAATTTAGGATATGATTTTAAAAATAGGGAAACAATCGTATTTGGAATAGGGATAGGATAGTGAAGAAATAATGAAACAATCGTAATGATATAGATATTTTGAGACCTTTTTGGATTGATTCGATAACTCTGTTTTTGTTTTTGTTTTTTTTTTTTTTGGTTTTAATTCGGTTGGAATTAAATTCTTCAGATGACAACGGTCCACTCGAATTGGGGTTATTATTATTATTATTATTAATGTACAATAATAATAAAGATATTGAATATATTATTTCATTTAATTTTAGAAATCTTTACTATATTAATAATTAGAATACCAAAGCAATTCAAGAAAAACTGTGGATAAACTTTTTAAATATTGCGAAGTATTTTTTATTAAAAAAATTATATAGAAAATTATCTATGTCAACAAATTCACTATTATCTTCTTTATTATCTGATGAAGTTTTTGGTGCTAATGATGCTAATTTCAATGGGCTGCAACTTTTTGTTCAATGACAGTCCACCAAGAAAATGATTTCCTTCATAGCTACTTCTAATAATATGTAATATAATTTAGATATTGAATATAATATTTCATTAACTTCCATTAATATTTGATATATTTCTAATTAAAATATCACAGCAATTCAAGAGAAAAAAAGTGTTCCATAATTCTGAAATAATTTTTAATAAAAAAATAACACATATGAAGTATTTTCAAATTATATAAGTTTAGAACTTCATTTAATGATTCAATAAATTTATTTATCATTTGACTTAAAGAAAATATATATTATTGAAAAAGAAAAAGTTGACATATACATGTAATCCTACAATCATATTTCAACCACGAAATTATGGGAGATGGTCAATAACAAAGTAGTAACAGGAGATCATCCACTTCTCCACAAGATAAAACCATGTTCGTCTCCAATAAGGATTCACATACAAAATTCCAGCAATCACTAAAAGCACAACTATGTAGGTCACCACAAAAGTGATATAGAAGATGTCCATGTCAACAAAATCACAATCTTCTTTGTTGTCAGTTGAAGCTCCTGGTGTCAATGATGGTGATTCCATTGGGTTGCAACTTTTGTTCAAAGGCAAGCCACAAAGAAAAGGGATTCCTTTATAGCTACCTTCTTCAAAGGTTGCAAATTGATTAACCCTTTCAGGTGTTTTTCCTGACAAATTATTGTGTGCCACACTGAAAACAGACAATGTGTATATCTCTACTAGTTCAGAGGGAATTTTTCCATTCAAATTGTTGTAAGAAAGATCCAAGCTCTCAATTTGTTTGAGATTTGAAAATGTTATTGGGATTGATCCTGTCAAATTATTATGAGAAAGATTAAGAGTGTGAATCGCGGTTAGGTTTCCAATTTGAGGAGGAATTTCACCGAATAATTTATTGCAAGAAAGATCAATTCCAGACATAGATGTGAGGATGCTTCCATTGTAGGAGTAGGATATACTTTTTGTTGTGAATTGTATGGATTCTTCACTTTGGAATGGAGTAATTCTTGAATAAGAACTAATATATATATCCAAAATAGCAGAAGTTATAGTTGTATCATTCCCATTTTCTTCATGAAGGGCAGTGAAATCCAAGCAAGAAGGAATTTTACCATAGAGACTATTTTGAGAGAGATCTAGCAAGCGTAGTTCTGTCAGATTGCACAATTCAGTAGGTAATTCACCTTCAAGATGATTGTTACCTAAGATAAGGTAACCTAAAGAAGAGAGTTTGCCAATCCAACTTGGAATATTCCCTTTGAAGTGGTTATAGCTAAGATCTAAGACCACCAATTGAGAACTATTATTGTAGAAAGCATCTTTTAGTTGTCCTTGCAATCTATTTCTTGACAAGTGAACTTGCTTGATTCCTGAAAGGTTAAAACAAGATGGAAAACTACCAGAGATATTGTTGTCTGAAATGTCCAAAATTTGAAGATCATCAATTTGAAATAGTTCTTTTGGAATTGGACCTTCAAGTTCATTATTTGACATTTCAATAATTTCTAAAGTTGATAGATTTCCAATCCATCTTGGGATCTTGCTGAGAGATGGTTATTATTGAGATTCAATACTTCTAAAGAACTGCAATTTAACAAGCTTTTTGGGATCTCTCCACTAAAATGATTACCATCCAATTGTAATATTCCTAACTGCTTCAAGTTCATAGTATGAGAGAAGATATGACCTTGCAAATTGTTGTTTGATAACACCAATAGTCGTAGTGAGAAGCACCCTATGGCCAAGTGCTCAGGTATTCCACCAGCCAACTTATTGTTTGATAAGTCCAGAGTTTGCAAGAAGTTTATACTACCAAAAGAAGATGGAATGCTACCATTGAAAGAATTTCTAGAAATGTTGAAATATGATAGCTTTGGTAGTTTTGCACCAATCTCTATTGGAATTTGGCCATGAAAGAAATTGATGGAGATGTCTAAGCTTCCTGAATGCATATGAGAATGAGATGGCAATAGGAAAGTTCCAGAAAGAGAATTATTAACTAGAAAAAGTGTTTCTAGTTGGGTATTGTTGGACAACAACCAATACGGAAATTCTCCACTCAAGTTCATGTGGGAGAGATCAACTTCTTGTAGGTCATGTTGATGGTAAAGAAACTTGGGAAAAGTGCCAACATTTCCACAACCAGACAACCAGATGGAATTTAATTGGAATTTTGGGGTCAAAGAATATGACATGGTTTCAACATATATTTGGTTATTTTCACTCTTGAAATCTTTGAGGTTTGAAAGGTTCAAAAATGGATTGAGTGATATTGGGACTTGGAAGTGATTGTTTGAAATGTCAAGGACTTGAATGGATGGTAGATCCTTAAGGGGAGATGAGGAGATGTTTCCTGTAATTTGATTGGAAGAAATATATAACTGCTTAAGTGAGGTCAAATTTGCCAAACATGGAGGTAAGGGACCCCATAAATCATTATAGTCAATATACAACTCTTGCAAATGCACCATCTCACACAAGCCTGAAATAAAACATGTCATTTAATTATTAACATATATAATTCATAAACATTTACATCAAATATCTTATTACGGTAGGCATGATTTTAATATCATTTTTTTGTCACTATTTATTGTTTCAATTACATCATTTAATAGTGATCACTTTAAACTCATCATTAATTTTTTTGAATAGTTTATTATTATGGTGGACATGGTTATCATCTTTTTTGTCACTTTTTCATTTCAATGTAATCTATTAATACAAGATTTATAGCTAATACATGAAACTGTGTAAATGTTTTTTTTTTTTTAATTTTTATTTATTGCATATGTATTTATTTGATTTACTAACCTTGATCATAAAATGTGCCATTGAGTCCGCAATCAAACAGTGATAATTTCTTAAGAGAAATTATCGGTTTAAAGATTTGAGAAAAGCTGTTGTTGAGAGTAGTTCCCTCCATGCCCAAACGTTCCAAATTTTTGAAATAAATAGGACCTACACATTGACATGAATGTATGTGAATATCCATAAGCAAATGTTCCAAAATTTGACATTACTAAAACCTATACATACTGAAAAACAATATTAAATTGAAAAAAAAAAAAAAAAAAAAGATATCAAGCTCAATTACACATTCAACTGATCATTTTTGTTACTTTTAAAGATTAAAATGAATTCAATCTAATCCATTCCAAAAGAGGAAAGTTCCTACAATTTTAAATATTTTATTGCCAATATTAAGGCTAATTAAAAGCTTGCTCAATTAAAATATAAATATTTGATCTCATTTTTGGAATTCCCAATCTAGAATATTATAATAAAAGAAAAATTAATTTTCAGTATGTATAGAAATTAGTATTAAATCTCATTTTTGTAAATATTTCATTTTTTCCACATCTAACTTGAATATAAAATTTCATTGATAACTGTTTAATCATTGAGAAAAATAAGAGGTGTTTGATCCACAAATTGAAAGCAAATTTCAATATCTAGGATTAAGTTTAAACATTATCTTATATATAAATTAATGCAAATGAAACTAATCTTGAATTTACCATGATTAGGTGAGATGCCATTGACTTCACAATATCTCATTGACAAATGTCTCAGCAAAGAGCAAGTTGCAACAGTTTGTAGAAAACTTATGTGGAGCTCAGAATAATCCAAGTTCAATTCTTCCAAGATGGTCAGATTGTGCAACTCTGTTAAAACAGTGCAACAAATTTAAATGATGCTAGGTAAGTAATTGACAAATTATCAACAATTTTTTTTTTAGCATCATAACTTTAACTTATTTCTTACCTCGAGCAATCATTGTTTGATTAAAACTATTATCTGAAAGGTTAAGTATCTTTAAGGATGGGAACAACCTTAATGTTGACTGTAGAAAAACAGTTCCATCATCGGTTTCAATACCACTCCGTAGAGAAAGGACATTCAACTTCTTCAAGCCTCTATAATCTATAAGTTAAAAAATTGAATTATAATTAACAATCTTCAACGTAATGCAAGGAACGGATTTTATAAAGGAATTTTTTTTTTTCTTTCTAAAACTCAATTCTCATATTTTGCAAATTAAATAAAATAAAAAATATTTTTTTACTAGCTGGAGTACAAAGATTTACGAAACACAGTTTTTTCTTTTATAAAAAGAATTAGTATTAACCTCAAAAATTGTGTTATGCGTTTTTAAAAAAAATAAAAAAATAAAACTTAAAAAACATAAAAATAACATTATGGGCTTAATGGTTTATAGAAATTAACATTAGTCTTTCTCATAATAAAAATAATTCTCTATTTTTCGAATTTAAAAAAAAAAAAATTGCTTGCCAGACAATTTTGAAAATCAAGATTCAGATGAACTTTTTTTCTTAAAAAAAGAAAGAAAATTAAACTCAAGAATTATGTTTTTTAATTTGTAAAATAATACCTATTGTAGCATTACTATTTATTTAATATTTCATTAATATGAACACTATTTTCAAATACACAATCGGGTAGAAATTTGAGAGTTAAAAATAAATTGATTAAATATTATTACTTAAGTTTAGTTATGGGCTTGTAGTGATGGAATGAATTGAATACCTTTGGAGTTGACAAATTTGTCAATCTTATTCCAGTCCATGTACAACTCCTCTAAGTTTTTCAAGGAACATAATCCTAGGAAAAAATGAAACAGAGTTAATCAAAAATTGATCATAAGAAGACATTAGGAATTTTATCAAACTTACCTTCAACATCAACAGTTCCATTCAATCCAATATCTTCTAGATACAAAGATTTTAATGAAGAGAGACCACCCAAAGATGATAATATGTTATTACTGAGGTTGTTATAACTTAAATTGATAACCTCCAAGTTACTCAAACCTGAAAATAGTCAAACAATTTTACAAGAGTAAACTATTTCATATATTTAATTTTAAAAGTCCAAATTACATTTATATATTTATATTTTAAGATAATATGTTTATATTTTCTATTAATTTTATAATATTAACTTATAATTAATGTTTAAATAATATATATTATTCATAAATAAAGTAATTAATACTTGCCTTAATTATTAGGTCAATTAATTAAATGTTGCCTAAAATAAAGTATTTTAATACTAGAACCATAATTAACGTCAATTAATATAGTAATTACTAAAATAAAATTATTATATAATGACATAATGGCTATATATAATTACATTAATAAATATAAGGATAAATTAGTAAATAAATATATAAAAACAATCACAACTTCATTTTTTCTTTCTTTGACATCATTCTCTATTTTACACTTTAAAAAAATAAAAATAAAAAAAATTGTTTACTAGTCTATGTATTTGAAAATGAAGATTTAGAGGAATTTTTTTTTTTTAAAAAAAAGTGAACTCAAGAAATTTATTTTGGAAATTAAAAAAAAGAATCACAGAATACGATAAATCCATTTTTCCCTACATTTTTCAGTTAATAATGTCGAAATTCTTTAACAAGAAAAAAAAAAATCTCATTTTTATTTTAAAAAGAATATTATAAAAATAATTTTGCAAAAGTATTCTTGATATTACTTTATATCATAGTCTCGCAAAAGTTAAAAGTATCCTAATTAAAATCTCAAAATTCTTAATAGAATAATATTTTTTCATCATTACCTTTGGGGCTGGCAAATTGGTCAATCTCATTATAGCTTATGTCCAACTTTTTCAAAGAATGTAACCCTAGGAAAAGATTAACAATTTCACAAGGTTAAACTCTTTCATATGTATATATATAAAATTTAAAGTATAAAGATTTATGAAACACAATTTTTTTCTTTTATAAAAAGAATTAGTATTAACCTCAATAATTGTATTTTTCTAATTAACTTTAGTAACACTGTGGTTTTAATGGTTTCTAGTAATTAACTTTAGTCTTTCTTTCATAAAAAAAAATAAAAAATCTATTTTTCGAATTTAGAAAAATAAAAAAGAAAATTGTTTGCTAGACAATTTGAAAATCAAGATTTAGAACTTTTCTTTAAAAAAAAGAAAAAGAAAATTAAACTCAAGAATTAAGTTTCGTAAGTTTCAAAATAATATATATGGTACATAGAAAATCTTTTTTTTTTTTTTTTTTTAATTTACCCTACATTTTCAAGTTCAAATTGTCAAATGCATTTTATTTTAAAGATAATACTAAATATTCAAATTATACCTATTTCATTAATATGAAAACTGTTTTCAAATACACAATATAATAATTGATTTTTCATTTTAATTTTAGAAAATGATAATGTAAAAATAATTTTACATAGCTGTGGGTATCACTTAGCATAACATTCTCAAAGATTGTGCCTTTGTATTAGAAATTTGAGAGTTAGAAATAAAGTCATTAAATATTATTACTTAAGTTTGGTTATGGGCCTGTGTTGATGAAATGAATTGAATACCTTTATAGTTGACAAATTTGTCAATCTTATTTCAACCCATGTATAGCTCCTCTAAGTTTTTCAAGGATTGTAATCCAGGGAAAAAATTAAACAAACTTAATTAAAAATTTA